CCCATGAAAGATACCTCTTTGCTCTTTGGAGGTGATGGCACTAGTCAGAATGAGCCCCAAACTTTTGATTAGACTGTCAAAAATTGCTAAGTAACAAAAGTACCCTCATTTCAGGAATACCATCTAAGTCTTTGTCATTTGTACTTTTTTGTGGTACTTTGTGTCACCACCACTTACTGCTGTGGAAGACAATAGTGATATTGTTAAAACTTTCCTATGTTTTTAAAAGATGTCACAGTTTATGGCTGCTTTTACTCTTTTACTGTATAGTGATGTATTCCCACACCAAATGTTCTCTCTTTTATGATCCCTTAAATTAAAAAAAAATTTACATATACCTGGAGGTGAATTGGACCATTTCTGTTTTGCATTGCACTTGAGTAATGCTTTAAGTTGAATGTTCTCAGGGTTCTAAAATTAAGTCAATCCATATGTAATTAGGAATGTTCTTAACTATGCATGTTCTTAACTAGGCAGTCCTGGTTAGCAAGAGATGGGTAGAATATTCCAAAACACTATTTAGCAAACCATGAATGCAATTAAATGAGAAAAGACCAAATTTCTCTTTAAAATGGGCTGTTGCCATAACTTAATGTGGCAATATGATTTTCTATTTTTAATTTTTGTAGACGGTGCATTCTGTAAAGTAGAATTTTTTTCTTCTGAGAGCTAGATAGTTCCATAATTTTGCACCACTTATGCTTTTAACACTTCAGTAAGTATTCTGCCTTTGCAATCCCTTTTTATTTTGATGGATAAAAGAAACTAAAAGTTAGTAAAGATACTGTTGTACCTTCTAAACAAAGAGACAAGATGAATATCTTGGAGAAACTAAATATTTCTCTTCTTGAGACGGTATGACCTTATCTTAATTTAGAATGCTTTCTTTCTAACAGAGCTTTTTATTCCCAGAACAATTATACTTAACATCGACACTTAAAGATGTTCCTTTTTTAATTCAAATAGTGAGAACTTTGACCCATATTCCACGTCAATATCAGGATTCAGGGAGGGATTGAACCTAATGAATACAGGGTTCTTCATTTGCCCCTCTGCAGACACCATGTGCTTAATGCTCTCTATAGTCCATTGCTCATGTCTTCATTTGCAGAAGTCATTTCAGGAGGAATTGATCACAGAGCTATCTTTTAGCAAATAACAATAAGTCACAGTCTACTGCTTATGACAACTGTAGATGCTCAGTTGCTTAAAATCACCTTTATCACTTAAAATAAGGTTTTTTTTTGCTTCTAAATTAGTATGAAAATACAGGAGGCTATTTCTTCAACTACATATGAAAGCCTAATCATGGCAGGCAGTTGTTTTAAAACAGAAAATAAGCATAAAAGCTAGAACGTTTATTTCTTAAGCCTTCTGTGAAGCAAGTGTTGGAAGAGCTCAAAGATCTGGTGATGTTTGCATACATTTTGATTGAATAGAAACTGAAGTTTGCACCTAATATCTATTCTTTAACACTGGAATTGCCTACTGCATTCATTCTTACTGTGGTTTCACATGCTATTTTTATAAGATGAGAAATTTTGTCCATATCCATAGTGCAATTTGGAGGGGGAAATGGCAGCAGTGTTCTCAGTTCTCTAGTATTCTGGGGATATGCTTTTTTGTGTGTGTCTGTGTGCATGCACGCATGTGCACCTCTTTTTTTTTTTTTAAACTAAACAGGATTTCCCAGAGTGCCATCAAAGTAAAACAAATGTATATAGAAGTGATAAATGTTACTTTTCTATTTCTGCCTTGCTCTGATTTTCACTACTTTTCACTCCTGATTGCAGCACCATTCGATCAGAATGAACAATTAACTCTCTAATTATTCTAGTCACACCAGCCCACAATGAAATCTTTATTCCGTGTTTACAGCAATCTTTGGCAGAGACTGTCTTGCTGTTTCTAAACTAAGAAGAACTGCCCTTTGGCTCCTCTCAGCATCAGCTGCCTTGGTTTCAGCCCGGGATGCCAATAATCAGACTTCTTCTTCTTCCAAAGTGGACATTTTTTTTTTGGGTGAAAAGACCTATTCTCATTACCCCCCCATATATTCTGGCTGATTTATGTTCTAGCCATTGCAGCTCTTCCTTCCGTATCTCTTTACATTTTTTCCTTTCTCCATAGACCAACATCAGGCAAAAACCCATTTTAAGTCCAAAATGGTAAAAAAAAATGCTTAAGCAGACAGTGCTCACTACTATGAGGGAAAGAAAAAATGCAACTATTGGTTTATGGGTAGAGGGAAGTCAAGGAAATCCCTCCTGCTCTTCCAAACTGCTAATTTTCCAGCTCAAAAGGCATTCAATAACTTCTTCACCAGGGGAAACATACCCACTTTCAGTGGCTCCCTTGATGACTTCCAACTATTTACTTAAATTCAACAGCTGCAGTCTTTAAGCAGCATCAGAGCTTGGGGGATACTGACAAACATACGAGGGTCTGTAAGGGCACAGCTAGTCTCTCTGAGGTGGAAAACTATTGCTAGCAAGAGAGGAGTCACTCTCTTTGCACAGGTCAGGGGGAGGCAGGACCTTCACCTAAGGAGGTGGGAAAAGCACCTTGATTAGTCCTTTTGGGACCTTCTGATGGAATCTGCTTCCTGGATCTGACTGCAGAGGACAATCCATGCTGAGTCCCTCACCCGAACCTGCTCAGTTGATTTTTCTAGAATTTTTCACTGCTTTGCAAAGACGAGGGCATTTTAACTTCCCATTCCAGTCTCTAAACCTTACATGAGGATTCCTGAACAACCCTCCAGTCTTTCCTCAGCCCCCAGCACTTAAGATAGTCACATTGCCTTTCCAGTGAGAACCGGGTCATAAAATTTTACCGAGGAGAAAAGGTAGAAGGGGGCGTTTCAGTAGTATAAACACTGATTAAATTCCCAGGCAACTCTCCTCAAACGAAAGATAATTTTTCTACAAGTATGCACAAGAATGTCAAGAATGCTAAGTCATTTTTATGTTTGTACTTTCCTCTTCCATTTTAATTTTACACTGCCACATGGCACACATGCTAAAAATGTATCTCCTTAACCTGCAGTGTAGCAAACTTAACAAAACATTAAAATCCCGTATTTTATAGACTGTCCTTTCCCAGGATGCTCAAAGCAGTTTTTTTATTTTTCCCGGACACAGAATTAGATCATCTCATGATAACCATCCTATTAGAAAGGCACGGGCTCCTTGTGCATCGGCAAATAGGGAAACTAAGAAGCACTGAAAAGAAAGGTCACATCAAAGTCAGTGGCCTCAGACTAAGCAGACTCTAAGAGATGGGTTTCAATTTATACTTTCCACTTGCTCTTCATTTCTTTCTCTTTTCTCTGGCAGGAAGGGATGTGGCCAGTGTGGAGGCTTGACCTCATCTCCTGCACTCAGCTTAACTCTGCCAGGCTGTTCTCCCACACTCTCGCCTGTTTTCTGCTTGATCAGCTGGCCAAGCCTTGTACCCTGGAGGCGATCTGACTAGGGGCCAAGCCAAGAGGAGGAACTGCAGGTGCCCTTGTGGCTTCCTTTAGTATTGGCCTCCTAAACCTGTCCTGGACAGGGAGCATACCCGGTGAGAATGCAAGGGTCCCACAAACTAAAAGGAAATGACTTTCCCAGGTTGTATGAATGTGTGAAAAGGGAAAGCTGGGGCAAGTCTGGGGCTCAGGATGGTTATGCCCACACTTCTCCAGTTAGAGGAGCCTGAGGAAGGAGAGTGGATGGGAATGACATTTATATGCATGGATCCAAGCACCTTGTCATTGCTACTTTTTGTTCTTCCTAGGTAGATCCAATTCCCTAGCTGGGTCCCTGACACCACCAGCTCTGAAGGGGTAATTTTCTTTGGTGGAGACACATCAGAGACTAGAGGTGGTCTTTGGGCATTATTTGGGGGAGGGCATGGAGACTCAGTTTCCAGACGATTAAAACAAACAAAACCCCAAATTCTTCCTGGCATTCATGCCAATTAACAGCGCCCGTACCACAGTATACTCTGAATCTACCCAGAGACAGACTTCTCAGTTCTTTGGTGCCAGTTTCTCTTACTACCTGTCTGCACTCAGCAGTAGGGAAAAAGGAGTCTGGCGCTGCCTCTGAGCTGCCCTCCAGGTTCCAGCCGCACCCCTGAGGCCACTAGCCAAGGAAAGGCTCCTGCTTCAGCATTAAGTCCAGTCCACAGTGTCTCTTATTGCTGCCCGCAGGCTGGAACCCCGCGATAGTATTTTCTCTGCAAATCTGAAATTTTCACCCTATCCGACCTCTTCTCCGCCCCCTCATCCCCGGCTGTACCCAAATATCACCAACAACAAGCAAAGCCCAACCACCCGCGTGCAATTCAGAGCTTTCCTTGGGAGGGTCAGGGCCCGGAGACAGGAAATCCGGGGAGTTGGTGATGTCCGGCAGGTGGCGGGGACACGAATCACCACTACATTCTCCTCCCACAGCTGAGCTCGAGCGGGGGCGCTGCGCGGGGCGCGGACGCGGACCGGGGCCCTAGGTGCCTGCGCCTCCCTAAATCCTAGACTCTGGCCCTCTTCTCCAAGCGTACCCCAGTGCAGGGGGACGCAGCCTCTCCCCTGGGCAGTCGGTGCGAGGCGTCGCCGCCCGGGAGGCAGGCGAGGGCTAAGCCCAGCCAAGCGCTCCCGCAAACCGCGCTCCAGGGTCCCCGAACACCGACTCCAGGCGCACACAGCCCGGCTCCCCGCACTCGGCGTCTTCCACCTGCCCCAAGGCGCCCCAGCTTCCTGCTCGCACAGAGCAGTTCCCTCCTCCCAGGCAACCCTCGCGTCCCCTTCCCTGTAAAGTCCGAGGAAGTCCAAGTCAGCCCGGCCCGTAGGTTCGCCAGGGCGGCGGGTAGTTGCAGGGAAAGCACGGCGCAGCGCTGGACTGCGCGCAGCGCCCCGGGCGCCTTCCCCCCCGAGTGTGGGCTCCCAGGCGCCCCTCGCCGCCCGGCGCCAGACCCGGGCACAGACGCGCGGGGCCGACCCGAACCCTCTGCTTTACCTGGCACAGCCGGCGACTCTCGGGAGACGTTCAGACTCCTCCGGGGGCGGGTGTCCCCTCACATCGCTGCCTCCCCCACCGGGCGGCCGGTGTCCTGCTGGGTCCCTTCGCCCCGCTCGCGGCACTGCCCCCGCCCCCCACCCCCCTTCCCCCTCTGTCAAAAGTGTCACAGCTTTTCTGCCTCCGGATGTTTCACAAAGTCTCCGCGCGGCCACCAGGAGTTGGAGGGCAATGCCAGGCGCGCTAACTCTGCCGATGCCCTGACCCACCCTCCCGTGGTCCCGACACTCCGCCCGGAGGGTGAGAAGAGCCGCTTTGTAGTTGTCACTGTCCCCCGAGCTCGGTGCTCTGTCCTCTGCCCCTCCCTCGCGCTTTCCCCAGCCCGAGTGGCTGCCGCCTGCCTGTGCCACGGGTCCTCATTCCCCTGCTCATGAATATTCTGACAGAGGCTAATGCTGTTGAAGTAAATTGAATTAGCCAATTGGTGCCAGGAATGTGCGCTCCTTCCTTCTGAGGAACTGTCTGGAACCCCAGCAGATGAAAGCAATTAACGTCCGGTTGGCACCCTGTGGTTCAGACCAGTGAGGGGCAAAATGGGTTAATTCTTTAAATGCAGTTTAAATACCGCATTTAAATGTTTAAACTACTCTATTGGCTGAGCGTAAGGAAATGCTAAAAGGAAGAGGGATGAAAGGGGGTAGGTAGGCATGTGGGGGGCAGTACACCTAAACTTTCCCCTGAAGTTAAAGTGACTTATTTTGCATAGATTATGGATTCTGGATTTTGGAAGAAGCAGTCAATGAAGATAACAGAAAATGACAAGCAAAGAGGATCAGAAAGGAGAAAGTATCAGCCCCAGTTTAACCTTGACCTTGAGGATGCAGAAGACTCAATTTTCAGAGGAGGGGTGTGGTTGGAAACCCCACTCATCAATTTATAAGAATTTTTCCAAATGCTCAGTTCTCTTTTGTCCTCAGCAAATTCGTATAGTTTTAAGCCTTTGAGTTAAGTGGGGTTGGGGCACAGGTTACTCTAGGGGCCACAAATTTCGGAGGAGGAAGCGGAGATCCTTGCCCCATGAAGAGCCCCCCCCCCACCCCAATCATACCGTGCTCTGATAGGGCCAATCTACAAGGCAATGTTCCTTGGTTCCATGATTAAGGCTTTTGTTTCTGGGACCAGATAAAGAAAGTCCACAGGGAGAACTGCCTCTTTCTTGTCCTGACTCCTATCCTACAATACCAAGTTATTGATTATATGACTTGGGCTTAGCAGGTGAGCAGAGGGGGAATCTTTGCCCAGTTCTGCATCTACATCATCTTACAATCATCCAGTGAGGTGTTTTTAGGATCTCTTCCCCACCACCAATTTTCTAAATACAGAAAGTTATTTTGGTTGAATTGGTAGGTTACTAAATGAGCTACTCGTGCAAGTGCTCTGTGGCCAAGTGATCTATATAAACAACTGATAAAATTATGTATATAAATAACTGATAAAATTCCCAAGTGTGTAACAGTAGAAATTAGTGCTCTGATTAGAGCACTTATGTCATGTTTAATAGACTTCAGCAAGCCTAGAATTAGGACTGGTAATTATAACAGTAATTATTAATATTATAGCATCTAATGTTTATTGAGGACTTTAGTGACAGACATGTGTTAGATGAATCACCTCATTGAATCTATGTACTTTATTCAGTATATACTCTTATCTTTCCATTTTAATAGATGAGACAGGTGAGACTTCAAAAGGTCACTAGTGTACCCAGGTCACATAGTTTACAAGTGGTAGAGTGAACTTTGACCCAAAGTAGCCTAATCAATTGGCCAGGGCCTTTAGGTCATCAGCAGTATCAGTTTCTTGGTATTTTATGGAAATGACCTGTCCTTAGTGATCAATTCCTTACCAAAACTTAGAGGGGGATTTTTTTTTTCTTGTTTTTGGAATGGTGTTTTAGTCTATTTTCTGTTGCTATAGCAAAATACTTGAGATCAAGTAGTTTATAGGAAATTGAAGTTTATTTGGCTCATGGTTCAGGAGACTAGGAAGTCCAAGGGCATAGCATTAGCATCTGATGAGGGGTTCTTACTGCATTTTTAATAGTATAATTTTAGGAGTAAAAGTGATAAGGATAAATGTTTGAATTCAACAGTTGTTGAGTATCTACTAAATGCAAGACACATATCTGTTCAAATGCTTTCTGCTAAAATTCATAGTTAAATAATTTTAAACAGTTGAAGATTTGCCATATTTCATTCTCTGAAACTTTTGGTCAGTGAAACCCTAAATAAAAAAAAAAAATACACAAGTGTTTTCACCTTGTATTAAATACTTATGACTTTCCCCCTTATGATTTCTCCCTTACAATGCTCTGTTGGTTCCTCCTTTTATAGAGAGAATCCTCTTAGGATTTAGAAGTCACATTTCACAGGAAAGTCTTCAGATGTTGGCATGTTTATTTATGTGAATATGTTAACATGATTTTAGAGCCCATAAAATATTGTCAAGCTGAGTGCTTTCCATATTTCCTTAAGAGTCTCAGCAGGCAGTCGGGTTGGGGACTGCCAGAGTCCTGGGTGGGACACTGACACTGGGTGGGGCCTGTATGGCTGTCTTGAAGAAGCTGTTCTCCTTTGGAGCAAAACAGAGTAGTGCCTATGCAAGATGGAAATTATAATATCCTATTTATTGAGTACTTGGATGTTTGAAAATTGCCCTCCCATATGCTGTCTCGTTCCACCCTCCCAGCAACCCAATGAATTTAGCTTTGTTGTCCATATTTAATTGATGAAGAATCTCAAGCTAACAGAGATTCAGTAATGCTTGGAAGGGATGGAACAGGAGTCTAATTCAGGGACAAAGTCACCTTTTCAGTGAAGCCTCTTTGACATCTCTCTCTGCCCATCCTCCCTGTGCCCCTTTCTGCACACAAGCTTCTTTTTCCAGAAGAAATAAAATTCTCTCCTTTGTTCTCCCCTAGGACTTCTCAGATGTGTAAAGAAATAATTAGAATACAATGTATTGTCTCTGCCAGTAACCAAAAGCAACCTGAAGTCAGGAACTTTGTCTTCACCATGTTTGCATCTTTGCATTTAGTACTCAGAGATTCCACCAACATCAATTCTAGCCTAATATTCTAGTAAAATATTCTACTGACTTTACTGGGCTATTAGGATCAAACAAAACAACTGGCAGGTGCTTTGAAAATTTAAAAACATCACATAATAATATGATTGTTATCCAAAATAAATTCAGAAATAAATGCAATAATTTTAGCCTTGACCTTTTGCTGATAAATCTTATGGGTGAGAAAGCAGTTTGATAATTTTTATGTCAGCTCCTGTTATTTAGGACATGGATGGATAACACTCTCTCAAATTATAATCATCTGGTTAATAGTAGTACTAAACTGGCCCATTAAGCAAGGAGGTATTAGTCTGGGAAAGGTGTGTGTGTGTGTGTGTGTGTGTGTGTGTGTGTGTGTGTGAGAGAGAGAGAGAGAGAGAGAGAGAGAGAGAGAGAGAGAACATGTATGCGTGCATGCAATTTTTCTGCTGCTGGAGTGCTTTCTGTGTCTGAGCAGCTTCAGCCATGGGCACAGATGTCTTTCTCTAAGGAAGGCACCTGCTTTTCCCACTTGGGGATGATCTTTATTAAGAGCTCCCAAGGTTATGGAGTTAATGACAGAGCTGAGGCTCCTGACCCTTGTTCAGTGCTATTTTCGCTATCCCACACTGACCGTGATTGGCAGCCACTGCCTGTGTATGTGGTTTATGGTTTTAAGATTGAGATGAGAGATAAGCAGTTCAATACCTCATTATAATTAGTCTCCTGAGTCAGCTAATACCCTTCTAATGCAATTTGGTGATCTAGATTATTCAGTATTATCCATTCAAGATATTTTTGGATTTATAATGATAATTATTTGGTAGAACTGATGACAGTGACACACTGAAAACACTTTTGTGGCTTCAGAGTCTGCCTATTCCATAAATATTCATTACTGAGCAGTTGTTTTGGTTAAAAATGCACACACACAATATTCACAAAGTTAGGAATTCCTGTTGATCTACAGGTTCTTTTCTGAAGCAGTAAAGTAAAATTCAGTTGATGTTTCTGTTCTATACTGATTTTACTAAGATCATTTACAGTTTGAGTTACCTTACTTTCGTTTTTTGTAACACATATTCATTCTGTCCTTTGAATCTGTGGGTTAATTAGTGATTCTGAGTAATTTTCAGTTTCCTCCCAGTTGATGTCTGTGAATCCCTATGTCTCACTATGTTTGTGAATAATTTTTTTTTTTAAATGCGTCCTATCATAGTCACCTGCAAGGAGAACTAGCTGTGGAAACAGTATTTGTGACAACATTCTGAAAGTTGACACCACTGATCCATTCACTTGAATTTGACAAACTTGAATAGGGTATCCTTGCTGTGGGCAAGGTGCTGTGCTAGTGATTGTAGATTTTTCAAAGAGAAATAAAGCCAGTGACTGCTCTCAAGGAGTTTATAATCTGGCAGAGGGGCCTTGATATCTAGCAAAGAAAAAGATCTAAGGCAAAAGTGGATAATTTCTATTAAAAAAAATAAAGTACTGTGGGAGCCCTGAAAATAGAGAAAGATTCTTTTCAGAGGGAAAGGGACAGGAGAATGAAAGGAACGATTGTTGGTCTGGTTTCTGAAGAATGGACATTATTTGAATATGGGGACAGGGTAGAGTGACCATGAAGGTAGAGGCTTGGATCTGGAAAAGCACAGCAGGACCGGAGGACTACTGTGATTACACCCAGCCCAAGTGCACATGGCTTTGAAAGGGGATAAGACTAGAAAGGGAGGTGGAACCCAGAAGGCCGAGGCTGTGGTCGTGGTGTTATTATGAAGGCATTGACGGAGGAGTTGCTTTTGATCTGGGCAGTGACACAACTAGAGCTGTGTGTACATTTGAGCATGGAATATTTTGGAAGTGGACTGAAGGGACGGGGTCAGGCTGGGAGAACTGCAGTAGCTGAAGAAGGATGCGGTGATGGCCTGAACTAGGCACTGGAAAGGGAAGCTGATGTAGAAAGAATAATAATATGTGGTGTTAACATGACACTGACATGATGTTTCTATCTGCTTCTCCTGGGTACCCTGTCTCACAACCTTGGTGCACACCCCATTCACATGTATCCATGTGTAAACACACACACACACATGTTTATGACTGCATAAACACAGCAGGCTCCTCAAGAACATGGCTTGGATTTTTTTCAAACTATGTGTCTCAGCAGCTCTTACAGTACCAGGCACGTTTTTTTTGGCTCTTAGGTTATTGTTGATTGAATGGAATTAAAAGCAACTGATGTGGGACATTGAGGCAAATGAGGAATCGCAAAATATCGATCCTGGAA